GGATTTTCTCACAGCGCCGCCTTTTTATAGGGTGGCGCGTCACCTTCTCAGGATATTCAGTTCGGCCCGCCTCGTGGTTGGCGGTCCAGTGCGCCACTAAATCTAACACGTATCCTAAAGCAGCCCCGCGAAGGATCCTCTCTCTCTCTCTCCAAACCAATCTTACATCTATTCGAGATCAACTTCTCTCCAACTCTCTTTCCTACGCTAATATAAACAAATATCACACAAACAGACGAGAAAGATATCTACAAAAAACACATATTTAATAACACACAACGACTACTGAAAAAGTACAACTTGTAAGTCCACTTTAGACTCACACTAAGATAATTATATTTCTATATATATAAATTATAAACGTATTAGTATTAGGGCTTGCAAACGCCCCCTCGATAGAGTACCGCAGATAATCGTACAAAGTAAATTAAAGTTTGAAATAAATAGGTCCACATAGCCACTCACGCGACTAGGCCGCGCTCCAAATCTCCCTTCTGGCAGAGTCTCATCAAGTGGGTTACACTTTTATTTTGTATTGTCTTGCTTGTTTTCCTCCCCGCCCACCTCCCCAATGCTAAATGTATTGAAGGTGTACTGTCCATGGTTGTCGAAGAGCTAACTCATCTAGGTGTCGGACAATCTTGCGATAATAGTGCGCATTCACCCTCTTCCAGATAGTGCGGGATACCCTCCAGATACCCACGCATACCCTTTCTCCGCGCCCCGGCTGTTGATGTGAAATCCAAAAACATTTTTTAAAATAAAATAATACTTTATTCCGAGTGTGCTTGCTTTTCTCTTTGAAGGTCATCACATAACGGCATTGTAATACACGGTTCGGCTGCATTAAATATCACATATCTGCCGTAGTTCGCTATTTATAGAGCCCTGGTGAGAAGACTTCTAGACAAACAGGAATAACTGCCGCGAAACTGAATATGTGACGTGGATCATAAATATATCAGCAATCAAACAAAATCTTCAATTTCTCTTCACACAATACGTCTCCTTGCAGTATCAATACTAATTCGGCTGAGTTTTATATTTGATCCAATCGGTATATTGGTATATGTACACCATAACGGTGCACAGCATAGAAAGGGACACCTGTTGGTTAAAGCACGTTATTGAAATGTATTATTTTTATTATTAGATATTAATAGGAGACACAGACAGACAAACTAATAAGGCTTTATTTAAACATTAAAGAATACTTTAGGTTAAGGTCTTATTTTTGCTTTCCTGCAATGTTAACTATGTTTAAGCACTTATTTTAACTGATATTATACATATGTATTATACTCTATAAGATGTATGTAGATAGTATAAGAAATGTGCAGAATATGACAGTTTAATGGTGGAGGTATACACATATTGATAGATGTCTTGTAATGCACTGTTGAGGAACCTGCAACCCAGGTTTTTCATCTCCGACCTTGTCAGGTATTGAACAATCAATAAATAAAGACCACAGAATTATTAAATATAAAACAGAGAATGTGTGTGATTATATTAAATAATTTACAAATAAACACCACTGCATATTTACAACTGTTACACATGCTGATGTAACGCAAATGTTTCCAACTTGGGATCAATAAAGTACATCTTATCTCTTTCGACTCCACTTCGAGCGATATAATTACTAACAAAGCACTTATATACTAATAAAGTACTGTCTTATCTAAAGCCAGTTGAGTAGCACTTGAAATGTTTTAGCTCTATGAAACCTGATGTACTTACTGTATATGATTCTGTTTTCTTCAAGTTTGTATCTTGTTGTTCGAACGCACTTATTGTAAGTCGCTTTGGATAAAAGCGTCAGCTAAATGCGATGTAATGTAATGTAAGATGATCGATGGCTACTGCCATATTTGCCTCTGAACCTTGGCAAGTGCATTTTTCAGGCTTATCAATTAACAACAGGAGGGGTCACAGACATAAGACCAGCTGTTAAATAAAGCTCTTCTGACAGCTGGCATGTGGGTATATACAGGACTGTCTCAGAAAATTAGAATATTGTGATAAAGTTCTTGATTTTCTGTA